TAGAAAATCAGTTCCTTTTGCTAAATGATAGTGGTACACTGTATCCTGAATATGATCTGCAGAGACCAAACACTTCTTTGGAACTAAATCACAGCTATTGCAAAATATGAAAACAGATAAATACATGCTTTGTATTAATATAGAAAGTACATTTTAACATTGATGATCTTAAAGTATAAGTAAATTGTCATGGTGATAAAGAAATACAAATCTAATGCTCCTGTTTAATCATGCGTCAGAATTACTGATTCCTACTAGCACTTTCAGTTTATAAACACATTATTAAGTTCTTTAGAGTAGTACAAATGTTTTAATGTATTATAACTCCCAAGTTCATAAGTTTATTATGTGCCTAGTTTGCATTAGTTTCATCTCTTTCATTTTTTACATCTAAAAATTATATCATGAACATTTTCACCATTTCAGCCACTTATGTTAGAGATGAATATTGCCAAGACAGAGATTTTTTTTTTTTTTTCTTTTTTGTCCCCAGTTCTTAACCAACTGATCTCCAAAGCTGTGGGGACTTTGATTATACACTATCTTTGTCAATATGTAAAGGCTGGATTTTTAAGAATTAAAGACCTTTTTTTGAAAGCTGACATTTTCTTGAACGTTCATTAATCTCATTTTAACTTATATTTTTTCTTCAAAATTTTTTTAAAACAAAGAATAGTTAATAGTTGAGAACATCTTTTTGCCAGGCCTGTCTCACTTTTGCCAGACAGTGTCTTTATCATAAATAGAATATCAATTTGTGTTTTTGTTTGATTTCTTCTATGTCGGTTTATTTTTTTAAGCTGCCAGACTGATCTACAGCATTATTAAATTCTTCAATACACACAGGTCATGCTTCACTTTATTTTCTTTTTAATAGGGAAGTGAGGTAGCATTTGCTGTTGTGTGTAGTCATTCTTTTCTGTAGAATAATATGTAATGTTACGCGTGATTCTGGTTTGGCATGGTGATCCCAACAGTTTCAGACATTAAGCCCTTAGTATCTTTCAGAAATCCAAACAAATAAAAGCACTTCAGCACTACAGGCCTTACAAGTATCTGAGTGGATGATGTGGAGGTAGAGGGTTTTATTTCCTTGCAGTGTGCCACAGCTTAGCCCCAAATCATTGGCTGAAATAGCAGGATCAATGAAATTGAATGGCATCACGTTGGCTTTATGGAAGAGAAATATTTTGTTGATCAGATTTTTAGTTTGTGCTTCCTATGAGTTTGGACTTTTGCTGTTATTTGCTATTTCAAGATGTGTAGATTCACGTTTGTAGATCTGTAGATGTATGCACTTACTATGTTCTGTTCCTTTGCCTAATTTACAAGTAGTGAATCATTTTCATGCAACTGTAGTTTTGGAATCAGCAGCTGGCTTTCTTGTGTGATGCCAATATATAGGATTCCCAGAAGAATGTATTAGTGGATATTTCTAAACATGTCTATGATCCCATCCTTCTGTATTCAAATGTGTAAGCTAGGGTCATTAGGGACAGAATGAAAATCTCTCTGTGAGTTATTATTTTTATTTTTAATTTTCCAAACTACTGAGCAAGCAGGTCTTTTAAGTATTTGTAGCTCATGTAGCATTTATCCTGAGATTACAAGACACAGAGCTGAGCACTGCTTTTTCAAACTGACATTAACACTTGTTAAACAGGTTTTCTGGAAAGCCAACGTCAGAACAAGTATTGCAGTCAAAAGTCAAATCTAGAAACTGAAAAAGAACATTTATCTTTATCACTGTTTAAATATATAGAGAGAAATTACTAATGGTGGATATTTAACAAACCTCACACTTACCAAGTCATACTACAAACTAAGTCTATATAGCGTGTTTCTAAATGGCATTGTGTTTTAAAACATGAAATGGGTCAGTTTTATATTACAAGATGCTCATGTTGTGGAGCCTCATTAGTAGCCTCATTGTACTAATATGGGGACAGCTTGCTGTGGATTGCTCCATTATGCTAATGGCATCAAAGTGAAGCTTAGCCCCTACCTCTGCTATGGAAACAATGACTGAAGAAGGGCCCAGGCTGTAATTAAGACATTGTCTGCTTCCCAAAATGAGGTTGAGCAGGAAAGGAAAGACATAGTTCGTAACTGCCCCTATGACACCAACAAGCAGAGCTTAATCTTCCAGAAGGCATCTTGATGTAGTCAGCAAGTACCAGCTGTGTCTCTATGGTCTCTGCATGAGCAAACAATTACAGGACAGAGCCACACCTGGATTTCTGCCTTCAAGTAGGGGTAAGTGGCTGCCCATATTCCTGAATTCGCTTTCAAGAACACACGCTAGATGAGCCTGGTTGAGGCAGGATGCAGCTGTGATGCTGAGGACTGGACTGTACTGTTGTTGTCTCCACATGTGCTCTGTGTGGAGTAACTCTGGAGAAGAGACACTGGCTTACTTACGTCCATCCCAAATGTCATTTCCAAATTCCTATTTTATGTGCTTACATACCAGCTGATGTTCTGACTTATTTCTGGCCATAAATGTACATTTTTGTGCCACATTTCACTACACGTGGACTGTCGACTTCTGTCTGTGCCAGATTTTGAGGTGGTATTATCTAGTGTATTTCTGTACACAAATTTAATAAACAAATAGAATGGATAGTATCCTTCGAGTGTCAGATGTTAATGGTGCATAAACCATGAGGGAAGCAAGAAAGATGTTGATTTTGCCCTTCCTACTACTTGTTGTGCTCATTCCACCTTCCTGTTAAATTCAACAGAAGTGAAGGAGAATTATTCTCTCAAATAAGTGTTTGTGCAGGATACATCACATTGGAGTTAAGACATTCCTGAGGCATGGTATGCCTTCTGCCTCTTAACTCTGTGAGGTCATGGTTGACTTGTAGTAAATGAAATAATAATCATAAGTGGCAAAATGTACATTTTCCATTTACCTTGAAACCAGTAATTTATTTTTATTTATAAATAAATGCTGGTTTCACTTAAATCCTACTGCCAGCTGCTCAGACAGACCACATGACTGATCCTATAAAGGTGGCTTCGCACCACAAATGGAAGAGCTGTGTTATTCAGCAGATTCAAAACACTGCAAAATAATTTTGAAGGCTACACCCCTATTGGAGTTGAAGATAATTCAGAGTACTTATTTTTTCTTCATAGCAGAATTCTGCATGCAGAATCCAGTGTAGCGAAGTAGTGAAATCTTACTTGTGTGAGTTCTTCCTACAGAAATACATGAGTAAATCACCCCCTAGACCGTCTTAATCTTTTTTTCTTTTATTTTTTAATTCTTTGCTTTGGGGGTGTTATTGGATTTAATGAGTAATCAATTAAGAATTAATCTACTTTCAGTATTAAAAAGGTTATTTAAATCTTATTTGTCAAGAATTTATTCAATAAACTCTATTATACTACAGTTTTCAGATTGCTCACCACAGAGATCACATTTTTGATAACATGATGGATTATTAAAAATTACTTCATTGGAGAAGAGAAGGCTGAGAGGAGACCTCATTGCAATCTCCCAGTATTTAACGGGGTTATAAAAAGGAGAGGAATCAACTTTTTACACAGTTAGACGGTAACAGGACAAGGGGCAATGGGTTTAAGCTTAAGGAGGGAAGGTTTAGACTGGATATCATGGAGGAGTTCTGCCCAGAGAAAGAGTGCTGGAACAGGCTGCCCAGAGAGGCTGTGGATGCCCTGTCACTGGAGGTGTTCAAGACCAGGTTGGATGGGGCCCTGGGCAGCCTGGTCTAGTACCAGATCTGGAGGTTGGTGGATCTGCCTGTGGCAGTGGATTGGAACTTGATGGTCCTTGGGGTCCCTTCCAACCCAAGTCATTCTATGATTCTCTGATTGCTAATACTGAGAAAATCTGTCATCCTTTGTGCAAGGCATTATTTTATTTTTCAGCTTTAGATCTTGGGAAAGAAACCAGAAAGCTTGGAAATAAAATCTATTTTGTAATGTTTCGATTTTCTGTTTGAAAGAAACAACTTTCAATTTTTTCTCTTCCCCTTTAAGGAATCCATTACAGCATGGTGTTTTAAGCTTGTATTTTCTCTGTTGCTAATGGTGAAGTTGGGATTAGTTTTAGATTGATGCCGCCACAGAGCCAGTAGAGGGAGCACAAACATTGCTTCCAGCGTTGGTGATGCTGCAGGGGCAACCTGGATTATTTCTCTAGGGAAAGCCGGATCTGTTTTTAGAGGAGATTTTTTTTAGAAAACTTTCAAAGTCTTTGTTTTACAAGATTCAGTGAAGATTAAATTAAGGAGTAGCTATTTTCAGCAATTATTATCAAACATAAAATCTATTAATAGTTTTGTAAATAGCTAGTGAATAAATGGATTCCCAATCATTGCACATTTTAGAGAGTTTTTTTGTTTTTAATTTTGTTCTGCAGCCACTGATAAAGGGGAAGGTTTTGTTTTTGTTTTTTACGAATACACTGAATGAAAATAAAATGTGTAATCTGTGTGGCAGCTTTGTGCAACTGAAGAAAGGAATTTAAATTGCTTTTATGCCTTCATTTTTGCTTAAAATGGCTTTTATATACTAAGGTATGTTATATATCGTTTTCAACTGCTACTACATACAATATATATATATATTTTTGTTGTTGTTGTTTGTTTGCAAGCTGTTTTATTTTGAGTGTGAATAACATCTGTCCTTGCTTGAGAAAACATCTGAGCTCTTCATCTCAGGAGGTTCCTTCCAGCTGCAAAGGTAGTGGCATTCTGTCATTTTCTAATAGTTGTTTAAGAAAATGTTTTTAAAAAATCCTTCCAAACACAGGTTCAGATGTGAACCATTTAAACATTATGATACAGTATGTAGAAACAGAAAAATATCTTCAGATTACCTGTTGACCTTCTCCATTAAAATACTTTCTGCAAACTCTGAATTGTACGCTTTCTGACCTGTTGTTCTTTTATGGTACTGAATAATAATGCTTTTTCTGTAGGTAGCTCCATTTGCTTTAATGCAGACTTTCAAGAAGAGTAGTATTTTTCACTGCAAAGAAGCATGCCAAGACATTTCTCTAAGAGCCAACATTACTTAATGCTTCCAGTCTTCGGTGTACTGGCCATATACTGCAGGATAAGACAGTGTGAGAGAGGGACTGGAGATTGTCATTCCAAGAGTGGACATTGCAAGGTATGTGTGGCATTGTGATCTTTTTGTCCTCATGGTTAAGTACAGTTAAATACTGCTCATACTCTTAAAATTTTGGTCCTTTTGCAGGTGAAATTACAGCTTCATTAAATGAATGGAAGTTAACCAGTGAGTTTTGTCCTTACAGAAGTGCAATTAAATTTTGAAGTAAATTTAAGTTAAACTTGCTTTATTTTTTCCTTGATTTTCTTTCTGTCTTTTGAACGTGTTGCTTCAAATCTCTTTCTGAAGTCAGTGGTTTTTTTGCAGAGCTGCATGTGGGTGATCAGATCATTAATGAGGTTTATTTTTTATTTGAAGTTAATTTTTATATATCATATTGAGTAGTTACGAATGTCAGATCTGAAAGGAATTAACTCGGGAATACATAAATAGAGTAATTTTAGTTGGCATCAAAATAAGGTGAGGAGAATATTACTTATATTGTATTCTGTAGATGATGTTGAATGGATTCATCTCCTTGAGCATAACTGAATTTACTCAAAAGCTGATAACTGTGAGAACACAGAACTTTCTCAAAGGTTTAGCTAGAACTGTTAAATAACTTCCTAAAAAAGCCAATGACTTTGATAGTATTTCCTACTTACATTATGCATAAAGGTGCAAAATTTTGCCATTTGAAAAGAAAAAAAAAATACAGCACATTTGATAATAACAGCTCTACAACTTTTTCTTTTCCCCCTTCAAACTGGAGAGGGAATAAAGAGTCGCACACAGATGGTGATAACCACAGTTTTACATAGTTCCTTAGACACTCTGGTCTGGTCTGGTCTGCAGTGATTTTTTCATAGAATCATAGAATGGCCTGAGTTGAAAAGGATCACAGTGATCATCTAGTTTTGACCCCCCTGCTATGTGCAGGGTCGCCAACCACTAAACCAGGCTGCCCAGAGCCACATCCAGCCTGGCCTTGAATGCCTCCAGGGATGGGGCATCCAAAACCTCCTTGGGCAACCTGTTCCAGTGCGTCACCACCCTCTGTGTGAAAAACTTCCTTCTAATATCTGATCTATATCTCCCCTATTTTAGTTTAAAACCATTTCCCCTTGTCCTATCACTATCAACCCATGTTGCATCTAGCTTGTGATTATTTGGACAAAATACTTTTTCCTTTCCTTTCATTTCCCCTATTGTAGCAATGTCCTATCGTGCTTTACGGTCATGTGGTGTAACAGGAAAAAAAAACCAACAACCCTTTCCAAAACCCCTACTGTTCTCTCACTAGAGGGCTCTCCCAGAATACTCAGGGGAGATAGCTCCAGTGACAGACTCTTCTAGTAGCGTGATTGCCGTGGCAATGGCTAGCCTGCAATCAAATCAAACCAAATCTCTGCCAGGTTTTGCAAAAATAAATGCATGTTGTTATTCGCTTAATGTTTTGATATGGATATGCACTTGCTGGGATTTTAACTCCACAAAACGTGCACAGTGTGAGATGTGAAACTGGCTGAATTTTTGATATTTAGATATTGGAATGAAAGAATAAATGCAATTTTTAAACAAGTATTTGACATCTTCGTTATCACCCATAGCAAGGTGTCCGTAATGTTGTTTGCTCAGGAAAACCTTACTGGGTTACAAATCTGAAACTGAACACTTGTACCAGCGCTCAGTAAATATGTTGCTGGACTAAATATAGAATTACTGTCATCAGCAAAGGGTATCTGTGAGGGAGTGATATTTCCTATAAATATACTAAGATACATGTGGATTAGTTTAATCTAACGAGGGAGATGTAAACAAACTTGACTACAGAACTCTGAATGGACAAAGTAGGATGCATAGAAAATGATCAAGGGAAACTACTCTGCTAGATGAAATCCTTGATTTTATACCAATTCAGAAAAATGAAACATTTCTTATTTGTTGAGCAGCTATTGAATTGAGAATTTATATAATACTAGAAGAATTTATTGGGGATAATTTTATGAAATATTTCATCCAAACCAGGATTTCTTCTATATTTATTGTATATTTTTAAATATCAACCTGGCCTTAAGTTCCTAAATTTTAATTTTCTTTCTGAGATGTCTGAAAAGGGGCAAATTTTCAGAGGATGATTATTTAGTAGTTTGTGATTATAGCTTTTTCTCAAAAATAAACACATTTGCAACTCAGGTGAGCTTCCCAAAAACTCGTTCTTAATAACTAGTGGCACTTTACGTTTAGGCCGTGAGGTTAAAGGCATGAGAACATTTTTATAAAGAATAACTTGTTTGCCTGCTGTATCCTTTATGTTTTCAGATTTATCAGTAATCATAAAACAATTGCACTGAAAAAACACTGAAAACTTAAAAAAATAAAATAAAATAAAAAAATCAGTCTGTTGATTGTTGACCATCTTTGGGCTCAGGACTGTGCAGGACTGTCCTGTGTTTGGCCAGAAGAAAGAGTTCAGAGAAACTGGTCAGATACTTGGGCCAGAGTGTCTATGACATAAGAAAAATATCAAGAATAAACAGCTCACCCTCTCCAAATGATTTTTTTTTTTTTTGATAGTAGCAATCTAAGAAACATCCAACATATGAAAAAAAGATCCTATTTTGAATTATTGGAAAAAATGTTGCGCATTTTAGAAAAACACAGAAGTTTTAAAATGTTAAAATGTTGATACGGATAATAGTGTGGATAAAAATACTGATACTGATGTGGTTAGCATCCACGTATCACAATAGAATTCCTATAGATATAATTTCCATGCATTTATTTCTCGTAAAGGCATAGATATGAGACACAGAGACAGAGGTCTTTAAACTGCGGAGTTTGCCTTCTATTTATTCTAATCTCTTTCATGTAAAAAACAGTGTTCATCACTATTCCAAGTGATGGGGGGCTGTTGGAAAACCCCTGGATAGGTGTGGTGTTCACTCCTGAGGAAACATGAGAAACACCTAGATTAGCCAACTGAAAAGTTCTCCACTGTTCAGTGCAAGGGAAATACCAGACATCTTTGAAGTCCAGCCACATTGAAGTGGGTTAATTTAGTTCAAGTGCATCCTTATTAAAATCAGCTTGTATTTAAAGTTAGTAAGGCAGTCTTAGATAAGGGCACAAAATACCTTTGGAAGAGATAATTTCTTTAGCTAAAGTTAAAGCTAACTAAATTGCAATTTAGAGAGTAGAGAGTTCCTGCTCCCAACTAACCATTTTAATAAATGAAGATAAAGTAGTGGCATTTTAGGATTTAACACACTGCAAAAACCTGCAGATATTTTGTACTGATATTCTCAAAGGTACAGCTTAAGCTTATGCTGGGCTATATATAGCCCAATATCTATACAGCCAAAATAATCCAGTATATATTGGATTATGTTTGTTCTGAACGATAATGACTAGGAAGAGGAGATAGAGGAGTTTCATACAGCTAGACTGTAAAAAGATATTGGCCAGATTTACTCTCTGCACTTGGCCTTTTTTTCACTGTAATTTTGGTATTTTCCAGCTGTTAGAGGTCATACTTCTTTTAGTTACTGATCCTCAATTGTGTGTTTGGTTTTGTTCTTTGCTCCATGAAGGCAAAGATAGCTGTTGGACGTGATGGTGGGGCTGCTGCAGCAAGTCATGGCATCTGAACAAGGCAAAGACCAGCCAACTGTCCAGGTCTCTGGGCACGTCTGCAGAGGTGAGGTGGGTCTTAGGCCAAGCAGGAAGCAAGATCAGTGGATAGGGATCATGCCTGATAGCAGCTAAGGTCAGCCACCATCTGCTGATCACCAGGCAAGTCCAGAGTGATGAGGCGAGTTCAAGGTCAGAGCCCTGATAGAATAGATAAGTAGATCAGAATAATATTCCTGCAGCCATTGAAATAATGGTATTCTGCAGTTTCCTTGTTATTAGATAACACTTTGTCAGGTACTGGAACAGTGTTGTTGCCAGCAACATACCTAAATGCTGCAGTGCTGTTTTTCTTCTCAGTAGTTTCTGCTTTTAAAATATGTGCTGTGAATTCCAGCTGACACTGAGTACTTTGTCAGTGTAAATGCCAATGCATGCTGAAAAGTTGCAATGGAAAAGTTTACAAGACGAACAAAAAATACAAGTAGTATTAGCCTCATTTTCAAGTGAGGAGCAGAGCTTGCTGTGAATGGTGCAAGGTGTTTTAGCAGAAACAGGACTTAAACTCAGTTTAACAGTGTGTGTGCCGGACTAGCCTTCTGTCCATCACTTGGCTTATGGTTCCCTGGTAATGACCAACAAGTGGGTATTCCCAGCTGGAAGCTGCCATGACCCTGATCTGTTGTCAGTATTGGAGGACTCCTGTGCTTTGCACAAATCATAGGAAACATTTTTGCTACTTGAGCTGTGTGTGAATGGAACAGTAATGTTTATATTATCAGACCTGGTGATATTTTCATTTTCCTCAGGCCAGATGCACAGCCAGCTATGAGACACAGACATGTACTGGCATCCCTATATACTTGTAGAGCTTTGTTTTTGGGGAAAAGAAAGAGATATTGAGTCTAAAGAGAAAGCAGAAAGCTGTAGTGGACTGCATGTCTGTTATATTGGGAGTTCATGACCCCTCAGCATGACCCCAGTAGGTCAATCTAGACATAAAGAAAAAGTCTTACATGGTTGCCTATGTCCTATTTTGAACAGAAATGCTTGATGAATTAAAGCTTTTGCTCAACTGTCAAGTCCCTTGTTTTTCCCAATACCATTTAGCCCCTTGCTGCATGCAATGATCACTGTGCAAAATGGAGCATCTACTCTATTTCTACTCAGTCTTTTTGCACAGATTTCTATGAGGAAGTGTAATGATATTTTTTCAGTGATTTGATTGTGGGCAAAACTAAAGCTATCACTATAACATGCAAGAGGAATACTGTCAGTTGAAGACAGCTTTAACATCAGTAGCCTCATTGCTTTGTGATCTCATTTTATTTTAAGTATACACAGAGGACTTTCAATTAAATGCAAATTAACTAGCTGATTTGTTTAATAACTGTGTGTAGCAGAGCCCTCCAAATGGTAAAAAAAATATGCATACTTTCATCTTAACATTATGTGCTAAAAACTGAAAAGTGTTGCTGGCATATTATCCGTGATGCAAAATATTTATGAGTCTGTGTGTTCTGTGTATTAGTGCTGTCTGCAGATGCTAAAAACTAAGCTGATTTTGGAATGGTTTATAACCTATAAAAGTTATAATAGACTAACCCTGCATCTCGAATTAGCCTGTGGAGGTTGGTATGCACATGTGCTATAAATTAGACATCATGTTTTATAAATTTTTAAGGATACTATAAAACTATAACATAAAGTAGAAAAAGTGCTATAAGTGATAGTAGTTTATTAAATGCATGCACATTATATATAGCTGGTTGCTGTTATAATTTTAAGATGTCTAGAGATCCCAAATGGCTATGGGCTTCAAACAAATACATTGTATGTGACAGTTCAGGTTATTAAGGCTGTGAAGTGCAAACAGAGAAAAAGTTTTTTAAAAAAGAAAGTAAAAATAGAGATTTGCATGAAGGCATAGATCAGTTTATTCAAATGTTATAAATGTTCTGAAGATTTATAAGAGCTTCAAGACTTTCCTGGTCATAATGTAATAGAAAAATGAAGTGGACATGTATTTAGTGCATCCTTCATCCTAGATTTTGCTACTGCTGTTGTAGTATAACCCAGCAGCAACTCAGCACCACACAGCTGTTTGCTCACTTGCCCCCAAGTGGGAGGAGTGACTGAAATGGAAACAAAATGGAACGGGTAGGTTGAGATAAAAACTATTTACTAAGACAGAGAAGGAAACAAAAATGCAATTATAAGTATGTATATATATATATATATATATATATATATATATATATCTCCACTGTTCAATTGCTTGCCACCTGCTGACCAACACCCAGCTAACAATACTACTGCCTACTAAAGAACACCCAGCTAGCAATGCAACATCTCACCTCTTGCCAACCAATGCCCAGTCTACCCCAAGCAACATCTTCTCCTTCCCCTAAGCCTTCCCTTTTCCTTTTCTCTCCCCACACCCCACTCCCAGACAACTACCCATAAACTTTATGTCCTCCCATGTGATGTCACATGGTGTGGAATAATCCCTTGCCTAATTCAGGTGCTAGTCCTGGCTACACCCCACCTCCTACCACTGTGCCATGATGGTCGATTGATGCTTACTCCCATAATATTCTTGTATCCATGTTAGGAAATCATGATCTGGATGGCTGAGCAGCCAGAGGAGTGAAGAACTGGTTGGATGACTAGTTTGAGAGTGTAGTCCTCTGTGGAAGCTGGCAACTGTCGGGATCTGTGCTTGGACCTGTCCCGCTTTACAACTTTACCAGTGACCTGGAGGGATTATGCACTCACATAAATTTGGCATATGCTACCAAACTGGAGGTGAACAGCAGATGAGCTGGAAGGCAATGCTCCACCCACCAGATACCTAGACAGGTTGAGAAAATGTGCTTACAGGAACTTCATGAAACTCAGCAAGAACAAATGCAAGTTCCTGACCCTAAGAAGGAAGACTCCCTGGCAGTGATAGAGACTGGGAAGCAGCAGTTCCAGGGAGAAAGCTCTGCGAGACAGCAATATGAATGCTTGTAGCAGGGAAGCCAGCAAATCCAGAGCAGTGTTAACAGGAACTCAGTTGGTCAAGGGAAGTGACTATCCCTTGCTTTACTTAGCGCTTGTTAGATCACGTCTGAACACTGTGTACAGTTCTGGGCTCCCCAGTACAGGAAACACATTGTTAATCTGGGATTAAAGCAGTGGAAGGCCACCAAGATGTCATAGGATGAAGCACTTTCCAAATGAAGAAAGGCTGAGGGAGAAAGGTTTCTTCAGCCTTGAGAACGGACAACTTCCAGGGCACCAACAGCAGACCTCAGTGCCTATGGGGAGATAAACAAGGAGATACAGCCAGGCCCTTTACAGCAGTGCATGGGGATTGCTGAGACAGTGGCACAAACTGGAACAGACCAGATGAGACTGTACATAAGGAAGAATTTTTCCCTATGAGGACTCTCGGGCGGTAGAACGGGTTGCCAAGAGAGGTTGCATTCTTTCCATTCTTGATGGTCTTCATCAAAGGAGTTGGACTAGATGACTTTTAAGGGTCCCTTCCAACTCAAATGATTCTATGATTCATGACCTGACTGGACAAAGCCCTGATGAACCAGTTCTGTCCTCAGTGAGCAAGACACTGGAATGGAGATTTACTGAGGTCCCTCCTAGCCTGAAATGTCCTGTGTGTTAATGACCTATATTTTATGATCTTAGTCACCTTTATGATTAACAACATCTCTAGAATGTGGTTAATTTGACCTAATTATAAGAGGAATGTTGTTGTACAATTGCCTGTTTCTTCACTATGAAGATAGTACAGACAGCTCAGATCTAATTATCAATATATGAAATATCTAAAATTAGGTCAGATTTTCATCAAAATATGAGGAAGCACTTTACTATGGAAATGTTGGAATACTGGCACAGGTTGTCCAGGGAGTTTGTGGTGTCTTCTCCTTACAGACCTTTAGAAGCTGCCTGCATATAGAATCATAGAGTGATAGAATCATATGATCCTGAGCAACCTGCCCTAGTTGTCCCTATTGAACAGGGGTTGGGCCGGATGGACCCAGAGGTCCCTGCCAGCCTCAGCCATTCTTTGACTCTAATTTTGTGGATCCTACCCTGAGTGTCTGTTGCCAGCTCTCTGAAGGCCTTGGCTAGATATGAAAGAAAGAAAGAAGATATTTCTGTGTAGTGCCATGGCAGCTATAACACTTGCCCCAAAGGAAAGTTATCTTAAATCTGGACTCCTCCGATTTTTATTTTTTAATCTGAAATTGTGTTGATACAAAATTAATATATATCCACAGTATGGATTTTGCCTGGTTCACTCAGAACACTAAGAAGGTCAGGTTATTGCCTTCCTTACTTCAATCTTTACTGCTAAGACTTCCCCTTGGGAATCCCAGACCCTGAAGGCAAGAGAGAGAGTCTGTGGAAAGGAAGGCCTCCCCTTGGTGGAGGAGGATCTGGTCAGAGATTGTCCTGACGTAAGGAACAAGGTTTAGCAGAGAGTTGGACTAGATGATTTCCAGATGTCCCTTCCAACCCCTATAATTCTATGATTCCTTTCTCTGGCCTTCTGTTCCTTGCTGAGCTGTGTACCGTGCACTGTGCACCATGCATTGGGCTCTGTCATGCCATGATGGAACTGTGACTTCTTTCTGAGCAAACTTCAAATCCAATTTTCCCTTTTCCTCAGGAAATGGAGAGTCTAGCTGCTAATAATTCTATGACTCACTTGTCTGAGCATCAGAAAAAAATGGGAAAGAAAACTTCTTCATAGACTTCTGCTGGGACTTGCTTTCTTCACATAGCCTTCACATAATTGGTAAATAGACTACAGAATTACCATTTATGCTATCACATTATCTTGCACCTTTTGCCAGTGTAACTCTGACATAATCAGTTTATATACGTACAAATGCATTTTATAGCTGTATCTATAGCCATAAAAACATCATAATGTTCATTTATGTTACTAATAACAAGTTGGAAATAAACAGTTAAATTAAGTACATCAATAAATGATAACAGATATAATACTGTTGATTTTTCCCTTGATTACTTCATTCAGGTTATATAGTGGAAAAAGTTTGGTAGTTTTCAATCCATTTCAATTTACAGAGCTCCTATGCAGGAAATAAGGAACCCAAAGTTAACCTTGCTGTTCTTGGCTATTTTTATTACAAATAAATCCCATGGTGTGTCTATAACACTTTAATTTGTAGCTTTTTCAAAATTATGCCTTTAGCTTAGTTATTGCCATGATTTTTCCTGCCAAATTTATGTTCTATGATTTATGACCTTTTTTTTTTTTTTTTATACATTCCTTGTACTAAGACAGTTCAGTGTATGTTGTTTGTTTTCTATCACTTAGCTTGCTGGTACCGTTCTCCTTTGCAATTCAAACAGTAAGCATCTTTCTTCATACTAATTGAAAGCAAGAATGTGTATTCAACAATGTAGCTGTTACTGACACAGTTCTTTCTACTGCATGGTGTACTTTGTCTTCAAGCGTTAGCGCCCCAAGACACACGTATGCTTGAGCCTTGAGAATGCAGTTTTGGGTTTTCTTGAAGATTTTTTGCATTTTGAATTCACAGAATGGTGCAAAGTTAAGATTTCAGAGCACAGAAATGAGGAGTGATTACCACTGGTTATGTTCAGCATCTCAACTATATATATCATGTGTACATAAACCACAAATCTTTAACTACTGAGTAGGTAAAATAACGTCTTACCTATCCATTGTAAATAATGCTGTTTTCCATTTTTTAACTTTGTGCACACGTATTCCTTCAAAAGTGATATTGTCCTAATTTTGGTCTTCAGTCTTGAAAACATTTAGATATGTGCTTTAGTTTCAGACACCTGAATAGGTCTGGCATAAGTAGTATTCCCATATAAAAACAACACTTGGAAAAATCTGTGCAGGATAAGTCTTGTTGATGAATATTTGAAGAGTATTGAAACTATATTTTACAAATTTCCATCCTGCTTGCTTTATTCAGTACCTATGAATTATTATTTACCAGAATATATTTTTACATATTACACCATAGATTTGAGAAAAAGCAAATACTTTTCAAAATTATATTTCTTATTACTTTAATTACTTAGCAATATTAATGCTTTCGTTGTTGCATTGGAGCATATGCCACACTCCAGGCATTTGGCTAAAAAAACCTGCAGGTTGTCACATGTACTTTGTAGGAACTGTATTTATCACTCAGCAAAATTACTATTATGTCTCTTTTTCTGCCCAGAATATTACTTTCAGATATTAAATAGTCTGTGAATGGCCTAGGACAGACCTCACTAGCCTATGTTTACTTTTTTTCATGCTGGCATTGTTTTAGTAATTCATTTAGGATTCAAAGACTTCCTCCTATAAGTTTTCCTTACAACTATAATAGGTTACGCAACTGAAGGCATTTCAGGTAGCCATTCATAGAAAAAAACTGTCAAGATTTACAGCAGATACAACATGCTCAGCCTTTTGTTATACTTATTTGTAGTTTTTACTTAACTCAATGCAATGTTTAATGTGAGCTGTCTCTTAAAATGGAACTCTTCAGCTTCTCTTTCTACTATGTTATATCAGTCAGTACTTGTGACTCTATATGGAATAATCACCTACTTGAAAGGCAAAAATGAAAGTAAATAGTATTAAAATATGCTCTCATCCAAGCCTTGTGTATTTTTGTTGAAAAGATGGGTAAAACTGATATTCCTGTCCTTAGTTATTAGAGCAGATATTGCTCAAATATGGAAGCAATTATTCCCATCCAATTGGTTATCCATTCTCTGCCACATGTATGCTGTGGTAACATAGAAAGTGACTGTTGATCAGAAAACTATCATGGTGGTGATGCACTTGAGCAGGTTGCCCAAGGAGGCTGTGGATGCCCCATCCCTGGAGGCATTCAAGGCCAGGCTGGATGTGGCTCTGGGCAGCCTGGCCTAGGGGGTGGCAACCCTGCACATAGCAGGGAGGTTGAAACTTGATGGTCATTGTGGTCCTTTTCAACCCAGGCCATTCTATGATTCTATGATTTGAGAGATAAAGGATGCTAAGAAAATGGATTTCATTACTTATTTTAAAAAAATTTTCCAGAAATTAAAGTAGAGCTCCTATCCAGATTTTTATATGGTTATTTGCACCACTATTACTGCTGCTGTTGCTACTAGATTCTTGCTTATTTTTTAGAAAAATAATACTTCCACAATGACTGTGCTTCTTACTTACCATTTCCATTGTTGTTCTCTAATAACATATGAATCTCTTTTTTAAAAATTAATTGTCAGTATTTATGAACTTGTAACCTTTCTATCATGTCTTTCAACTTTGCCAGGTGTGACTCATTTGGTAATTGTATTACTAATGTCACACATGCATTTTAAATATTTTAAAGTTTTAAATGGAGTATGGAGTCTCAAAATTAATTTGTAGTCTTTTGCACAGTCTAAATATGAAGACTTCTTGATAAGCAAGAATAAAGATTTTGGTAGTACTTACATGCATGAAATATTTTCATTAGTCTAATTGACCATGTCTGTAGGGAAGTTTTGAATATAAACATTAAACATGTATTTGCTTTGGGAAAAATAATCTCTGTATCAGTTATGCTTAGTTCATGGGCATAAAAAAAAATGGATTTAACTGTGTCATCTCAGAGGAAAGAAGAAAAGACTCAAACCCCATCTAAATAGTAGAGAAATATTTCCCAGATCCTTTTTGTGTGTTTACATAACTGATATATCTAAAGTATTGGAGCAACTCAGCTGGAGATGTAAGCATAATAGGCAGCCACTGTAATAATTGTACCAAATGCTTAAAAGCTTCTCTTTAAGTACTGTTAAGATTTAATTTTTTTTCCCCATTGACAGAAGGATCCTAAGGCTTGCTATACTCATAATAGTGTTCAGAGTATTTTTAGTTATGGAGGAAAATGATGCTTTAATCCTTGTTTTTATTACCATTTGGCTGTTCTCATTTGCAATATTTTAGAACTCAGATATATAGTTTCAAGATCTCCTGTGTGGATAACACCATCCTTAAATTGATAACAGAAGAAGCAGCTTGAAAGAAACACATTTTTTGACCAAAAAAAAAAAAAAAAAATCAGGAAAAATAGAAGCTCCTTTTATGAATTTTGTGGTCTTCATTCAAATGGAAGATAAGAAAACTTTCAAAATTACATTTTAAATTAAAATGACTGAACTCAGTTTGAGGCAACTTTTGAATTATAATTGTCAGCTGGAGGAGAACTAGGCATGTCCTAATAGCAACTTTCTTCAAAATACTGTACCATGTAAGAATGAAATGCAGGAGACGTGTCTCTCATTCTCAGACTTGAAATATTAGAAAGAAGCAATTTCAAAAAATCTGAGGTCTGAAAGAATATTCTTTTCTTGAACCATTTGATCAGACTGATCCACCTCTTTAATGCCCATTAAATCTAGGAATTTTCCTGCCCCTATGTTTCCTTTCATATGATCCTGATCATCAGTATGTCTCATGCCACTCAGTCATGCTAGTCTTTGCCTGTAGATTGTAGGGGAAATACTGATACATCTTCTCTTACAAGCAAAACAGCAATTCACAAAAATAACTGTGTAGCAGTGCTTTCAGAAGTTCAAAACATTTTGTCTTTCAAACTAAACAGCTATGCTATCCACATATGTTTTCTAAAAAGCTTAAATGCTCATGAAGGGATGTGAATACTTGGTTGAGTATTTCTTTTCTTTTTTTTTTCTTTCCAGTTTTACCACAGGCATATTTAATTTTTAACCTATAGACCAGTAATGTGATCTATTTTTCATTTCCTTTATTGATTTACTTCACTGTGAAATGTTCAAAGTTTCAACTGCCATGTGACAGAGATCAGAAAAAAATCATGGAATCGTGGAAAATGAGGTGGGAATGACTACCAGAAACTATGTATGCTGGTGTTTTTTCACCATCATTATTTCCACGAAATATTCCAGTGGTAACAGTGTACTACTCAGAATAAGTTATTCTTTACTACAAGAAAGTGTGTTATAGTATGTCTGCCCAAAACAGGCGAGGAATAGGATTGAATTTCTTAAGTATTGCTCCAGTCCAATTCTAACTTTCTGAAGTTAATGTGTAACCACTTATCTAAGACAGGAAGGTGGTGAAAAGCTGGAAAGAACTTCCTAGCTTAGTGGGAAAGATGTGAAGGCAATTGGAAGGTCATTTCTCCCTGATATCAATAAAGAAACAAAGTGCTTCTTGCAAAAGGGTAAATCCCCCCCCTTCCTTCCACTTCTCCTCCCTCCCCCCCCCCCCAAAAAAAAAAAAAACAACCAGCACCAAAACAACCAACCAAAATACAAATTAACAAAGAAAAAACAACCAAGAGGCCTTGTTCTTAGAAATCCTGAGCTAGCTATTGCTGTACTCGCAATTTTAAGAGGCTAGAGAGTATCTCATGCACAGTAACTCAGTGGTTTATATCATTAAACTGCAAGTAGGATCCCTGGAGTTTGCTATAATGTCTGACTGTTCCTAGGCACATGGTTTGGAAAATAACATGGTGAGAAAACATTCCCAGTAGGCATTTTAGGTCAGAACGCCCTCTTCCAGAGAGTCTAGTGGTGTAAGTATAGGGGTGGGGAGCTGTTCCACGCCAATTGCCTTTGTTGCCAGAGAACAGTCCTTGGTACTTTTGATTACTTAACATAGACCAG